AGAAGAGCATAGATGAGCAGAAGGAAAAGGAAGAAGGTACATAAATTTGTATTGAAATGTAGTTACTAACTATTTCAATTAACTTGTAACACCTCTTTTTTTATTATATATAATTTACTAATTTGGGTGATACATCGCACTTTCATTTTTTTCGCCATTGAGATTTGTGCATCTCGTGGATGATGTGACAATTATGTAGATCTCGAAGGATTATGTTAGCAGTCTTTTTTGTGGCAGATTGCATCACCATATTTGTGTTCCTTCAAGGGTTGAGACACAAAGTTATATTTCTCTACGGGAACTGTAATTAATTGTAGTCTGGCGATGATCAGTTCCTTTTAAGGTGAGATAAACAGCATTCAAAAGATATCGCTAATTTCAAATTGACCCTAAACAATTGGTATGAATTCTGCATAGGCAGAACTGTAACGCAATTTTCATTCTTCAGTAGTAGGATGGATGATCGACCAGTTATCAATGATAACCGCTTACTTGGTTCATTCCTAGTAATGTTAGGTGTTGTCTTTTCTCTAAATATACCTCTATGCGTGATTTATTCCTCCTGGTGATAATTTGGGTAACATATTGATAACATATCAAAATGAATAAGGGACAAAGAGTAAGAGGAGAGAGATCAACCCAAAGGTTGAAATGACAACAAACGGTGCACACTGTCTGTTGCTCAGTCTGGCTAATAAATTTTGCTTTCGGATATAAAATATTGGCCATATAAGTGGGAATACTTAAAGCAATGTTAAACACATACACACATACACACGCATACACATATATACATACATACACATACACACACACACACACACACACATACATACATACACGCACAGACAAGCGGAAGATTTTAGGGGCGGAGTGGAGGGGTTGCTTACGCCGCGGTGATGTGTTGGCGATGACTGGGAACCGAGTGTTGGGCACTGTCGCAACCTTCTACGAGATTCAGTGGCCTCTCGTACTCGCTCGCTTCAATTTATAATCCTCGTTGAAGTTTAGTGAATTGTTCCTGAATAACACTACGGTACATTATTAACTCTTTTCTATAGCAATTCGTCTATTCTTCTTACTCACTCCCTTACTTACCTATTCACATCTTTAATCCATTTGAATTACCCATTCTCGTAGTTACTGACTCGTTTCAAACCATTTTGAAATATAATTAAATTGTTTTGATACAGAGTTAGTAGTAGACCTATTCATTTCAGTATGGTCGGTTTTAATGAAATGCTATGAAAGATGCCATGAATATTGCACTTATGGTTTGCCTCAGCTAAGCTATTCATAAATGAAAATTTTAAGATTTATTTTATTAGGGTCAGCTTTTCATATTTTTTTCATCAATCCAAAAAACTTAAAAAAAATTATAAAGCCAAAAAAAAGAAGTTAAAATGAAAAATAACATAACAAAAACGTTAAAAAAATGAAATAAATTTTAATAACCTTAAGTAAAATAAAATCTATTGAATGCTGTTTATCTTACCATTCTTACTATAATATCCTACCGAAGCATCCGTCAATATTGGGAGTTCTTTCACATTTTCCTTTAATTAACTCGGATAATTATTTCTCCGTTACCTTTGCTTCTTTATTTTTTACATATAATTGCCTACATTATTCACATTATGTTCACCTTTCCACCTGAACTAAATGAATTCTTCGGCAACTTTTTGAGGGAAGTTTAGGAATTTAATTGCCCTTTCTTTCTCTTCTTTCCTCTCTTTCTGTCTTTCTCTCGCTCTTCCTTTTTCTCCTCTTTGTATTTTATTGCTTGCAATGATTAATGTTTTCATTTATATTTTAAATTCATAAAGTAATCGACCATAATTTTAATTAATCAATCTTAATGAATTACTGTCGTTGAGTTCATTCATCAAGATGGACTACAAAGTGTTAGCCAAAGGAATATTGACAAGGTAGACTGGAAAGAATGAGCCAAGAAGAATTTTTTATCATAGATGAAACTATGCTGAATTGATCGCGTCCGTACATATTTAATAATTATTCTATCAAACAAAATTATTTCTTCTCTCGAAAGGAGAAATTCTGGCAAATTTCCTCACACTTCATTAAATAACTGTGTTACTTCATTCATTCATGCGAAATTCGAAATAATTTATATATTTTAAGCAATAATTTTCCAGATTTTAGACTGTAACGAGTAACTCGGAGGATAATTTTGGTATTATCCGTTGGAGAAGTGCCTCACTGAACGGCCAGTCGATGTCACTGCGAAGTACAACAAATAATTCACTCTGTCATAATTTCATACTTATTTCATTATTATCATTATTATTATCACTTTTACTATGCGCTAAACAAGTCACAGCATCAATTTTTGAACAGGTTTTAAAATTTCAGAAATTTATATTCGTTTGTAAGAGGAATAGATGGAAAATTTTCTATCATTTGGACCTTTTTTAATTTTAAAATTGAAATTTAAATGTCACTTGTTACAACAATTGTTTGATTAATCTTCAATTTATGATTGCTTTTGGATTTCAGTTAATTTGACATTTCAGGCTAGTCGAAGCCGCTGTGAACCTATCGAAATTCCATTATGTAAAGACATCCCATACAAGTATACTTATTTCCCGAACTCGCTATTACAACCTGATCAGCAAAGCGTTAGTTTTTCCCAGAAAACACTGCTAAAAGCTTTGTAATTTTCTCAGCTTTATTTTCCATTGAAAAAAAAAACCAGAAAATAAATTTGATTTTCAAATCTTCAAGTTACCTTTATGATTCTGTTTACTTAGAAATGCCGACAAAAATAACACCGAAACATCAGTGATCTAATTTAACCTGACGTCTATGAATCATTCCTGAACATTTTGCAATTTCCTGCCAGCGTTATAGTGATTTTTTTATAATGTAATCACGAAATTTTCACGGTATTTCTTCTTGACATTTCAGCTACAAACACAAACAGAGCATTTTAAACCGCTGATTAAGACGAATTGCAATCCGCATATCAAATTTTTCATATGCAGTGTATTTGCACCAATGTGTCCAGAGCATATGCCGCAAGCGGTAACCAGTTGCCGGTCCGTATGTGAAGAGGTACTAATTAATCGCATCTCATAGACAAAGTTACTAAATTATAAGATCATTGCTTTCTAAAATTAAACCCGAATTAAATGTAAAAATTTGATCCAATCTGCATAATATTGCTAATCAAATGACCCTACTATCACAAGTAAATTAAAGTTAATTGCTAAACAGATCAATATCTTTTACTTAGATTATCTCGGGATTAAATATTTTTCACCAAAGACTTTCAAAAAAAGACAATTTTGAAAATTTTCTGAGTTATTTCGAATTTTTCTTTTTTCTCTCTCTTCCTTCTTCTCTGTGTCTTTCTGAAATTTCTTCAAGCATTGCCTAAAAGAGCGTTTTTCATGCTGTTTTCAGGAAATGTGTCCCATTATTACCGGTTTGTACCACTTATCATCTTGGCATTAAACATTATTTTTTTGAAACTAATAAAAGGAAATTTTTTGGTTTAAAATGCAAATAATTTGCTTAGCACAAACTTTCGCCGATTAAAATATATTTTAGTAGTAGTGATATTTGCAGCAAATTGATGGGCGATTTATAAGAATGGCGGTAATATAATATTTACTTTTATTTACTTATATATTTCGTGGAGATGATTTTAGCTTCGTATCAGTCATGAACTGATTGTTTATTACAAGGAAAGGTTTGAAGTTAAACTTGGTCACATTTCTATTACATTCAAATCATTTTCATGAAATGTTTGGAATAATAATTCCATGTAAATTAATATTATCATTTGGCCCATTCAGCATTTCTTCTTGTCCCATTTTGTCATTTTTAGTTTAATTTCAAATTGTACTTTTGCTAGAAGAAACAGCCTTCTTCTCTAATAAATTTTGAGTTAATGGCATTGGGAGTAGCAGCAATCCATCGTATCTTTCCCCTTTCTTTTTGATTTTTTCTTTCCTTGTCATCGGATCACATCAAAGTGCCTCAAAACATTTTATTTATTTCACCCAAACTTTTCTCCTTTGGTCTTCCCTTTATTTCTTATGATCAAATGTTTTCTTTCAATTTTTTTTTCTTCTTTTGAACCCCAAAAAATAAAAAATGAATCAATGTTCGATCTGTTTTAGACAGAAAACAGAGAGAGAGAAAAACAAAAAGTTCTAAACATTTATGAAATATTTAGAGTTAACACCTTTTAAATGGTACATATTAATAATACTAGTATAACATTTAACGACGACACATAAAGTAGTTGAATAGTAAATTGTTATCTAAATATTGGGGATAGAATTCATCGTTGTAATTAATTATTACTTATAATTTGAATGAATCTTTTTTGTATGAGTGAAGCAAACATTAGTTATCGAAAAGGTTTGCATTTTCTTTTTTATAAACAATAGCCTTAATTTTAATTATTAATTCACCTGATGGTTATGGAGAACTTTTAATGAAATATTTTAGATCTGAGAAGCTCTAAGCCTGGAAAAAGCTAATACAACTACACTAAAAATGTTTGCTCTGATGTTTGTCATAACGTTTAGAGCAAAAATTGATTTGAGCTGAACTTTCGTTAAACTACAATTTTAATATAATAGACCTGGTTACGTCACGCATGTAACGATTCATGTATCACTAATGCAAATATCGCTAATGGTTATAATAATTGTTTTTAAGAAATAAAATAAAATTTATAAGTAATGCGGAGATTGCAATTTAAGTATTTATGGAAGAAAACTGCTGAGATATCGATTATCATTTTGAATAGGTCGATTTTTAGTGCGAATAGTAAGTAGTAATATATATTGGTGGAAGGGTGAAAGCGGCGACATCATTGCGCCGGAATCAATAGGGACGGTCTTATTGCCCATTTTACAACCTTCTATAAAACCATTACCCGGGCGAAACCCATCATCTCTCTGATGTTGAAATGTTTTCAACCATTATCCCATAGATCGATGTGAAGTGATACAGCTACAGCGATGAGTGAAATTCTTGATTTAGCGAAATTACTAGGTCGGATAACAATTGTCGATAAAGTGAACCGGATAGCGGATCTAGTAATCAAAATGTGAATGAGAAGAAGATAGTTGCGCCCGTTATACAAATCCTTTTTGGAATAGATGAAATCAGATTTCTCAAGCAAATTTTTGCTATGATATATAATTCACAACGCTTCAACTCGTTCCTGTTATTTTCAGATACTTTTAATTTGCTTGAAAATTGATCTATCTAAACTACACAGTAATCAAATAACAGGTGGGACAGAATAAACAAACAGGTGGTTGAGTGGTGGGCAGGAAGATTGGAGGGACTTGAAAAGGTCACTATTGATGCTATTGTGTCTTCCACCCGTTTTTGGTTTGCAACTATTCGTCTTTCTATCTCAATAAATATTTGAAAAATCTTTTTCACCTCTTTTAAATTTTAATATAATAATTTCTTATCCATACAGAGTGTAATTTAATGAGAAAACTGACGAGAAGCAGGTGCATCCCTTATTGATTTGAACTAAACGGTGTATTGAATCACTTTAAACTTGATCAGAAGATGGAAGGTGGGGATGGATGGATCAAGCCTAAAACATCAGAAGATGGAACAAGCATTTTAAACCAACCATCTTCTTAACTCTAGTGATATTTAATTATTTAGATATAAAAGGTACTTGTATTCTTGGAAACAACTCTGCTTTTACTCTACTTTTATCAACATTTTCAAGTTTTCATTTCGATTTTAAGTTTTCTATTTTCAATTGTTTTTCAATTTTCTACTGATTTTCTATTTTTTAGGTTAAACGAGACTGCGTTTCAATTTTACTAGAATTCGGAATCGATTGGCCAGAACCGTTGAATTGCAGTCGATTTCCGGAAGCACCGAATTTGTGCATGAAACCGACCAACGACCAGAATAGTTATTTAGGACCAGAGTAGGTTCAATCTAATGCGGAATATTTCGATGTTTATATCTGACACTGCTTAGAAGAGATCATTTGCTTGACTCAGTTATCAGATGTCTTCACAATTAATTATTCTTAGTTATTCCTCGGTCGACATGAAAACCACTCTATAAAGCTTTCTTTTTCAAATAATTTTCATAGCTTCTTCAGAACTTAATTTCTTGTCACTTATAACTGATAACTTTATTATTTTGATTTTTGCATTGTTATCGCCCATTCTGATTCGGATTTGATGAATGGGATCAGTTTTGCTTTTATTGTTGTTGTTAGGTTATGAGTGACAATATTAGGATTACCTAATATGGATGCATTAAGGTTCACTTGAATGTTTTGATCTTAGCTAAGGAAATAAGGATTAATAAGGTTTATATCGTCATTTTTCTCTAAAGGAACTTCCGTTAATCGATTTTGAAAAATTCCACATGCTTATTGATTGTTGTGCTCTTTTAAAACTATAATGGTTTCAATTAATACCTTTCTTCCTTTTACTAACCATTTCTTTTCCTGACATTTCACACACTTATTTCTAGCAAACATCTTAATGAATTGGTGACTGTGGCACATTTTTACTTCTAGTCTAGATAAGCTTGGCTGTCAAGTGTAGGTTGACACTATCCACTGGCATATACTTCGAGAATTTTTATCATCTTGAGAGTCTTGATTTGAAATATTGAGAAAAACTTTTTGCATAAGTTTATCATTTTTAGACAGTTTGATACAGATCATCGAGAGTCAGTGACAAGTTTGGAAGGACGGATATTTTCTAAAACGATGATATCCTGTCCGCATGATCTGGTTAATCTGGATCCGACTGATCGTCGTGGTTTATGTGTTTTTCAATGTAATCGGGAAGGGATGTTTGATGTTTCCAAGAAAGAATTTGCTCGATTTTGGATGCTTTTATGGGCTTCCATTAATCTTGGTGTTACCGCTTTCACTGTTCTTACATTTATAATTGATCGGCAACGTTTTCGTTTTCCTGAAAGGTTGGTCAGATTTCTTCTTTTTCTTTTCAGAATTCATTTTTCAAGGTGAATGTGCCAGTGAAATTTTTTTTATTGTATACTTTTAAAAATTTTGATAATTCTTTTTCATAGATAACTTCAGTTTGATATATTAAATTTTGATGGAAGAATATAAATATTTCCCAGTGGTTTGGATAAATGCTTAATGTAGTACTTTCATCCTATCTTTTCCTTTTTTCGCTCATCTATTAGTTCGATTTCCACTTTGAAACATAGATATTAGTCAATGAATAATGATTTTGATATCCTAATTTATGCTAGACTGATATAACAACATGTGAGGGAAAATTGATATCTTCCCAGTCATTCATTCCACTTTCATCCAATAAATAAGAAAACTTTTTCTCTAAAATTTTTTTTCTTTTTTTGCTAGTTAAGTAATAATATGCTTATGTGTCATTCATGTTAGCTTTGCCTTAGTGATCAGAGAGGGATTTTTTAATTGCTTCAAAAAATTAACGGTTTCGATGGGCTCTTTCTTCATATTGAAATGCAAGAGAATGTTATTTTATAACGGCTTTTTCTTTTTCTAAATCACTCTTAGTTATATTTATTTGGGAATGGGAATGGGTTCACAGTTTTAGTGCAGTGTTAGTAGGGTTGCGAGTTCGAAGAATTATAAAGTAATGGTTCTTTTTTTGGACCTCACGCTGATTATACTTTTTTCAAGGAATTTCAAATATATATGTTTTGTAATGTATAAAAGAATTTTCAATTTTAATAAATGCTAATTAAATTTGAGAAATACGAAAATTAATTTGATCATTCATTTTGAAAACATCCTTTCAGGTTGTGTTTTATTAGTCTTAACTATGTTCTTGTGTAATTCAATAAAATACGGAACAAGCACTGTTACATCAAATTTTCTTTGTCCTTTTTGTTTTACACTTGGATTCAATTATATTTCTTTAACATAACATGAGCTTCGTACAAGAAAGCTATTTGGCTGACTTAATGAGCCAGATCAAATTTAGATTCAAAATTTTTGGCCATATTCCGGTCAGTGTTTGATAGTTCGACCTTGGACGACTACTTCAGTAAATGATTATGTATAAAGTAGTGCTGGATCATGGAAATATAAGTTCTCGATGATTTCATGTTGTAACACAGCGATATCGAGATGTTCAATTTATTGCTGTGTTGCAGAGGCGGCAAGAATAAAGGAGTTTGTCAAGATTTAAGAAGTGAAATAATGTAAGCCTTACTTCTGAGGTGCCGCACTCACTTGGATAGCATACATACATAGACAAAGGCCTCAGTCAATGACAAATGATGAGTCTAAGGCCTAGAAAACTTATGATTATTGCTATACGTTACTCTTTCATTCTAATGATTTACTGCAAGTACCCTTGCGCCTTTGTCCATTTCTCTGTGCTCATTTTGGCAGTTCATATCAAACAGCTATCGAATCGAATGTTATACATATTGCCATGCAGTGGTAATACTGTCATATTGTTATCACAGAAGAGATCTATGCAAGCAAACAGTCTTCCTTCTCTCTAATTTATCTCTTTTAATGTGAAAAATTAATCTACGAAGATCTTCTTGTTTTCATATAATCCTACCATCATTAACTTTTTTTTTTTAATAACATTTCTTTTCATCCTTTTAAAATTTCAAAACACATTAAATGCAAAGCTAGTAAGTTAGCTCTGCATTATCTTACATTCTTGTTATCAAATGACCACCTCATAACAACTAATAGCCAAATACAAACAATTACTCAAATTAAATATTATATTAATTTTAATGGAACTATTAAGCAGTGAAATTACTAAGTTCATACGAAGGAACAAGTTTTGATTTAATGATACATTCAGCTGCTGCATTTATTTTTCAGTAAACGATTAATTGATGGAATATTTGGTCTTTGAATTTCAGGTCAATATTCTATTTATCAGCTTGTTATATGCTTTTTTCATTACCTCCGTTAAGTCGAGCAGTTTTCCCATATGAAAGAATTGTTTGCGATAAATTACCAACCGGCCAAACGTTCCTTATCGCTGGAACATTGGATAATACGTCATGTGTTATGTCATTTATACTTACCTATTATTTCTCCGTTGCTAGCAGTTTATGGTGGCTTATGCTTACTTTTACATGGTTGGTACTTTTTCAGTTTTCGTGCATTGTTGCATTGCAGTAAAGACAAGCAGTAAAATACCAATGCATGATATGTAATGATGACATTTCTATTCATTTAGAAAATACGCAAAAAAAAAAAAAAAAAAAATTGGAGTAATTTCAAGGGAAATATTCAAAATGAAACCGTTCAAAATCGCTATTAATAACTAGTTTTGAAAAATTACTCCCATTTTCATAATCTTTGTTGTTCTTGCAAAATTGCACTGCAACATAATTGAATTTCTATTTTCTAAAAATGTTAATCTATTTTTGACGACTTCAATTAGAGCACATATTTGTAAATTAGTGAGCGGAACCAGACTAAGGAGTTGAATGGAAGACATTGCAGTTTTTTTTTTTTTAAAAAAGACTTCAAATTCGGTTTGATTATTCTTTGTTAACATCAGATATATGAGCCAATAGTGAAAAAGCAGTTATGACTGAAGTCCAGACCAGAAATTATCCTTTTTCCGTAGTAACTTAATCAGTCTAAAATTTAATTAAATGTATTCCTTTTCTAGGACTAGCCACTAGACTTAAACTGGTCTGTTTCCTTTTAATGAATTGGCATAAAAATTTCGTATCAGAATTCCAGGGTAAGAGAAAGACTATTCTATAAGATCTCACTTGTCCTATGGGAATGAAATTGAAGATACTTCATTTAAATTTACATTTGAAATTATATCATGTTAATCCATTCAGACATCCTTCCTAATGAGAAAACACTTTTTTCCAAAATGCTGATAAGTTGTTAGTTCTGCAGCTTTCCTGTTTTTGAATAATTTGATATGAAAAGAGTTTTTTTTTGCCAAAGATATGAAAAAATGACGATAATTTAATCAATCATAACCTTAATCTCTCTGCTATATTTATTTAAAAAAAAAAAGAAAAATTATGAAACATATGAAAAAAAACAAAATAGCACCGTGTAATTCTTATAAGTCTCACTTTACGATTTGCGGAGAATGGCAGGGAATTTTCATTACTTGTCGACTTGGAAATCACCATATAGAGTTGTATGATATAGGAAGTGAATTATTGAAACTATAAAAGTAGTTAGTATTAAATAACAACCCAAGTACTGTCCTTCTCCCGCGCAGTTGGTTAATCCTACCCTTGAAATGATGAACAGAACACTTTGAACTGATAAATCAAGTAGTAAAATATAAAGCAATCACTTCATAACTATCTGCAATGACAGAAAAAAAAAAAAAAACGTATACTGAGCAGAAATAGCACATATGATTGTTGTTGTTATTATTATTAATATTATGTTAAAATTTCAGGTACCTCTCAGCTGCTCGTAAATGGGTTCCAGAAGGGATTGATGCATGGAGCAGTTATCTTCACTTGGTTGCTTGGGCATTACCAGCTATTTTAACTATCGCAGTACTTACTACCCATAAGGTTGTCGTTCACATTCATCCAGTTCCTTCAAAAATGATCTTTACCGAATGCAAGTTCCCACATCTCAGTTGCATGTCAGTCTATTTTTGTGATTTATTTGCATCTACCACGAAATAATTAGTTAACCCTAAGCGACAAATTGTTAATGTCATCTTGGAGACGCATATGAGAAGAATGGTACTGTCTAAACCTTTTTTTAAACAGTAAAGTACGTGATGCATTTGAATACCATGAACAATTTTCATTGATATAATATGTGTTCATTTAAATTAACAATTTCTCATTTCTGCTTATTGACATCTATGCTATGAATAAATTTTAATCCTAATCAGATTTTAAGTTACTCTATAAAGATTACTATCGAACAGAAATGTTTACTAAGCACTTTTAGTAACCAGGCTTAAGGAACAAAGATTCATAAAAGAAAGTAGTATTGATTCGTTAGTTCGATAATAAAATTTGAAACTTTTTTTTGTAGGTGGATGCAAACGAATTAACAGGCCTATGTTCAGTCGGTAATGTTGATCCATGGGCTTTATTTGGTTTTATTATTGTACCAAAATTGATTTTTGTTGTAGTTGGAAGTTGTTTGATTGTTGCTGGTTTCTCCAGTATGTGCCGAGAACGTGATTCCTTTAGAAGACGAGTAAGTTTACATTTTGAAATTAATTCACTATCAAATTCAAAATTTACCAAATTTAATCCTTATGAATTTGTCCTTTTGTCACAGTTTCGCTTTGTCGTACTTCTTTTCCAAATTTTAATGTAATTAAAATTTAATAAAAATTTTTGCTTCGATAGCACTGGAGAATATGAAAGCTTTTTATATTATTTTGATCGATATTATCTACAGTTTGAGATTTAGATTTGTTAAACCCATAAAATCGATAACATTCTTTGTAATGGCTACCAAATTGCGCATACAAATAAACATTTTCCATGTTTCTTTGCTTTGGTATAATTTATTTTGAAATGTACTATATTTTTTTTTATTTCAATTTCTAATAAATACAATTTGAATAGGGAACGGATACATCAAAACTGGAGAAGCTAATGGTGAAAATGGGTATCTTCAGTGCGCTTTATGTAATTCCAGCAATAACAATAATTATCTGCGACAGCTACCATATGTTCATACTAATGAAATGGCATCCAACAACTATTGCTTGTAAACTACATGGTGGAATCGAAAAAGGTCATTGTAAAAGGCCTCCATTACCACAGGTATGCAAAAAGAAAAAGCTGTATTCTCTGAAGTACCAACTATGGGCTTATTCTGTTTGAAAACTTATCAAATAGATTTTATATGCTACGTTTGTTTTGATCTACGGATGAGCTATCTACTACGGTCTAACTTTCTTTAAGGATAGTAATTACGTTTAAATTTTCACACTCATTTTTTTAGGTTTTTGAATAGAAAAGTAAAATTTCTACCTGGTGCTTCTATGTTTTTTGATTTACTCTCCCATATAATTCAATATCTGAAGCGTTTTTTTTTTCCCCAATTTATGAATTAGAGAAAAGCAAATGGACATTTGTTTGACGAAAAAAGCATTCGTTTAGTGATAAATATCTGAAAGAAGAAATTTTTTTCTTGCGAAGAGGCATCATGCGGGAATTTATTTGCTTCAAGAATGTAAATTTAGAAAAATTATAAAATATTTAGTTTTTTTGTTTAATTTTATGATCAAAGATTTGTCGTTAAATCACTTTTTTTTTTCATTTTTTTCAGGTTGAATTGTATTTTTTGAATATATTTATGTCACTAGTGATTGGCATTTCAACAGGAATGTGGACTGTTTCGTCGAAAACATTTCATTCCTGGCAACGAGCTATCTGTTGCGGTCTATGCTCTACAGCACCTGCAAAATACAGTTCCGGTTGCGGAGTGACTAATTCCGCGACGCTTGCTCCAGTAGGTGCTAATCGACCACTCATTCCACTAGCAAATCCACCGCCCGCTCCACCACAGCATCATCATTACATGCCAATGACTGTATCCTCTTTACCACCGAGCCATATTACTGCGGCCCAAAATGTTACTTCCGCTGTTGTTGCCTGGAAGCAATCGAAAATTATGTAATTTTCTGAAAATTTGGAGCGAAATCGAAATGCTTCTTATTTCTGAAAAAAATTCACTTGTAAAGTTAGTAATGGATTAAAAGCATCAAAATCTGGACATCCAAACGGACCAGGAAGTAACATTCATCTTTATTTAGCTCTTCTGCCCACACAGAATTTTAAAAATTAGGTGAATTATTCAGAACTGACAAATTAACTAGCTCGCAAGTGTCCATGATAATTATTGATGTATATTAATTAACCAATTAAATTAGAAATTATTCTGTTAACTGTTTTCTGAGCTGAAAAATTGATATCAAATATGAAAAATTTGTATATTTATTCGAAATTCACGAAAAAATGATATAAGAGCATCATTAAAACAAATCACTGTTCTACCTCGATTTGCTTACAAGCATATAATATCTTAATTTCCTCTTTCTTCATCCTATCTTACTGAATCACTACTTTCAAGAATACATCCGTATTTATGAGAAATAATCTTTTTTTTTCTTTCTATTCTTATAAGTGCCATTGCAATATGACAATCCATGACAGTATATTGTGTAATCTTCTGTTGTTTTTATTGTGCCGGACAATGTTTTGATTCATTTGAACCCATCATAGATATATTCATATAGAAGATTTTTGGTTTTTTTCTTATCATAAAGTTAGCTAGATAAGGATATTAAAAGGCGGTGTGGTTTCAGACGACTAATTGCGAAAAAATTTGCCCACAAAGAGAAAAGGTGGTTACTCCGTAAAACTAATGCAAGTTTAACGTGTGTATCTGCAATATACTGAAGATGACGTTTAGAACTTTTCAAGTCGTTTTCTGACAATTTTTGAGGAAGCTCCATTTGATTTAAAAAGCTGGAATCTCTTATAATTAGTCATTGAATTTTAGCAATGGCTGAAGTAATCAAACAGATTTGAAAAGTTCTAAAAGTCAAGGGAATAAAAACCGTTGCTGACGGTTTTAATAAGTGTAAAACTGCTTTTATAAATTTGAAAGAACTCTGTACAAAATTTTATACTTCATTTCTAGAAATGCTAAGGAAATTATCGAATGTTCATGTTTACGAAACTGTATCAAATTAGGTGTATAAAATACAATCCTTCATATTGTTGCATGTTCTTTACTGCCAGCATACTTTTTACTTTATTTCGTCTTCGATTGTTTTCGCAATGAAATTTATTGCATTAGTAGTGAAGTATACTATTTATTTTTGCAGATTATTATACTTATTATACTATTAAATTCATTAAATTGTGACATATTGACACCATGGAGTTTTTAAGCTAAGGCAGGAGATTTTGAAATTTTAATTTTAATAAAAGTGACCAAAAGTTTTAAATTGGATAAAATGAAAAAATTTTAAATTGGATAAAATGAAAAATGAACTTAAGAGAAAAAGATGATAAAACGTTCCACGTTCCAATTTCTGTCTATCATTATCAGTCGCCGTATCAGACTTCGGTTTATTTGTTTCCCATCTAGCTGCTTTTAAACGTTTTTTTTTTTTTTTTTCACATATGCTTTAACCAACACATTTTGTTTAATTTTGCACTTTTTTCTGCAAAACAGAATATATTAAACGTAACAAATAAGAATTTTTATTGTTAATATGTTTACAATACTAAAATTTCATTAAAGGAAGCCTTTTTATAAGTTAGATTTACATTCATTCATCCCTACATGAATAAAATATAAAACATCAAAGGAACCGATTACTGGTTTTGTAAGCGGAAATGAAGACTTCTTTGATGTGTTATGAGTTGTGAATTGTGCACAATACAGTAACATGACTCATCCGCAAAGGGGAAAAGGAAAAAGCATTGGACGAACTATTTTCTTCCGGAAGTGATGCTGCAGAATGTTGGGTGGTCAAGACAAGGAGCATTTATATGTAGCTAATTGTGATTTAAGTGGAGCAATTTGTTATTCAATTATATTTCTTGGTAATCTAACCGATATCATAGATGAAATGACAACAAGTTTAATAAGGAGGGCCAGCAGAATTTGATGGAAAAGTCCTCAATTTGAAAAACGCTATTTGATGGAGAGGATCTTTTCTTCTTAAATAATAGAATTTGATTTGTGAAAATCCATTTCCAAATTGATAAACTACTATCAGTTATGAAAATTTCGAACTTTATTTTGAGTGAATAGGAAAAAATTTATTTTGTAGTTAATGACATCACAGTAAATTGCACAACGATCAGCCATATCATGACGATATATTTATTCACAGACAGCTGCGCATTACTTCTTTCAAAACATTTCTGGTCGATTTGGAACGGAATACAATTCTCAAATTGATGTTCATACGATTCCCAGGTCATCTAAAAAAGCCAGAAATACATGTGATCCTCTCGCTCGATGGGAAATGATTTAAATATCTTAAATTTTTAGCATTTTTCATTTCAAAATCAAGGATTTTAAAAACTGAACTTTATCGTTTCAAATCATACTGATCATCTATTGATATTATGATGAGCATGGGATAAGCTATCTTTAATCTCACAGTAATTAATTATACGTCACAGTAAGTTTTTTCTATTACTAAAAGTTAATTAATTATATAGTTAATTAAAATTAGGAAGCATGAAGATTATCAAATCTAAAGAAAGGGAATCTTTTTTAATCTTAGTGTTGTGTAATCATTGGCTAAAATCCTGTAATTAAGAGTGCGAGATAAAAATGATACTTATGAAGAACATAAATAGTTAGTTCATCGTACAAACATGTAAGCACTTATTTAATTAATTTAATTAATTCAAACCTTATAGCAAACTTCATGAATTGCATGCGATGGTATCAAAATAAAAGTATCGCTCATCCAATCGTCCACTGTACGGTTCCCTATCAAACTTATATAATGTACATGATTATCGAGACGGATGCGATAATGAATGATGAATGAAATCGGTTGCGACCAGTTTGGATTTATATTTAACGAAAATTCCGCGTCATCGCAATTTATTGACCTGAATGAACTATTCATTTAAATGAACCTATTCATTTGAAATTTAAATGAGAATTCTTCCTTATTTACAGTCTTTAGAGCTTCTAAATTATTTAAGATATATTTCTATTTCTGAAAGGGATTATTGGAAGAATAGTTTACATAACTATCCTACTAAAAATTTACCGAGAGTTTAAAATTCTTCGTAGACTAATTTCTTCATTACTTATTAGGAATTTTCAGAAGTATTACTTACCTCACTTTAAATGAAATAAGTTTTGGAAGCCAATCTACCTCCGTGTAATTGGTTTTGGTCAGAAAGCGGGGCATGATTAAAAAAATGCTGGAATGGTTGGACCAGAATGTTCTGTAAACTTTTTTATGATAAACTTCATAACGTATCATACTCTTGAAAAACACTTCATACCACTTGCCGTGTGTAAAATCACATGCTAGATAATCCTGAAAACATAATGAACATACCTAATGATATGATTTTGTGAGTTGAAATTCATTTAAAAGAAATAAATCCAGAAACTCATCCAGCAAATTATGTAGTCTTATTAAGGCGTTTGGGCATTAGCAAAAAAGTATTTTTCCATCTCAGAGCATCTCGAAATTCTGATAAAGAATTACGTTTAGGATTACCTCATAACTTTTCGGTAAACTCTTCAGTGGGCAGTTTGCGTTACTGGTATTCCAAATTGGTGTCTTTCTAATAGCTAACTGTGATATGTAATGTGAAAGCGCTTTTTGACATCCAATGTAATATCCTAGGTCGGGTGATATCCGATAGCTTTCTTGATAACCCTTTAAAAATGCTACCATTCTAGAGATAAACGATACGATTAATAATATATAAATAATTAAATACATTCATTATGAGTTACCATAGATTTTAAAAATTGACAATAACAGACTTCATTATTTATAAACTAAATTATGTCAGAATAGAATTATAGTATTAGAAATGAACCTTATATTCCAATTTACAAGTGTTTGGATTACCCATTTCATGCCAAATAATTTGCACAGTAGGTTCTAGACTGGTAACATGTTTCAAATCAGTGTTGTAGTCGTCATGTCTCTTACTGGTATGAAACGATCCACATGATCGTACTGCTTCTGGGAATAACTAGAAAACAATGATGAAAGGATTTTTTCTAATCACTGCAATGAATTAGGATTGGCTGCAGAGATTTCCGATGAAGTATGATATCACTAATCTAATACGCTGGAATTTATACAACTACTTAGTAATGAGTGCGACAAAAGCGCAGCAACTTTTATCTGTTCAGGAAATAGTAGCATAAAATATATGTATCATAAAAAAGCGAACATACAACCATAACGTTATCTTTGAGTGATTGTCTTTCATATGAGCAAGCTTCTAGTGATAAACTGATAAATTTCTCCGGAGATATATGATAAAATGCTATAACATGTTGCACCATAGAGTACCACCAAAATGTTAGTAGTATCTTGACCATTATGACCATTATTATATAGAAGAAGGCACCATTCAGACAGAAAATTCCAAGATTTGGCACGATAAATCATGATATAACATAGTCTCTTGAATTCTTCTGAATTTACAAACGGAATTTTGTGGCTTAAGACACAACTTGATTATTCTTAACATCGTCACTTATTTTTCAATATATGCAAATTAATCAGAAAGAACAATTAGACAAGTCTCTAATTGCTTCTGCAAAAGAGATATATTTTTCACTAAAAGATGTTTTTTAAAAAAAATTATACCAACCTAAGTTCGTCATAAAGTAGGAAAAATTAGTTAATAAAAACTTCAATTGACACTTATGATAATTTATATCAACCAGATAAGTGTCGAAAAATGAAACAATATATAACTAAAGTCTGCATAAAAAAATAACAGAAGCATAGCAGAATGAATCTAGCAATTTGCTTCTTCCCATGAGTAAACTAAACTTTCCTGCATGGAACATTTCACAAACACATTGTTGGAAAGCTGACTCTTTTCCAAGCCAAGACCCTCTCTCATTTCCCTTTTTTATATCATCCAATGCTATAT